TACCACTGTGTTGGACAGCCAGGTAGGGTAGTTCACCTCCCGAATGGCTTGGGCTTCCAGCAATTTATCCACTTCCTTTTCTATTGCCTTCACATGTATCAATGTCAGTCTTCTTGCTCGCTGGATGATAGGTTTAGCCGACCTATCCACATTGAGCCTGTGACAAGTGACCTCGGGGTCAATGCCAAGCATCTCATAAGCCGTCCAGGCAAACACTTCTATTTTTGCTCGCAAGAAAGTCTCTAACTCCTTTTCCTCCTCTTCGGCTAAACTGGTGCCGAGAAGGAAGACGCATTTTTCATCACCTTCTTGAACCAGAATCTTCCTCAAAGCCTCATCACTCTTGTCAGCTTGTTCTTTGCCGACATCATCTAGGACCTCCCTATCTTTGTCATCAATTTCCACTGTTTCTGCTTCTTGCACATTGCAAGTAGACTTCATTGCTGCCATGGAGCAATTTTTTACCTATACCTAATCCCCTCTGACTTTCTCAATCCCCTTCTCAGTTGGAAACTGCAACAGCTGGTGCAACGTTGAGGGAACAACCCTCATTGCGTGCACCCATTGTCTTCCCAAAATAACATCGCAAGGGGATGGGGTATCAATCACTGTAAATTTTGTGCTTACCTTTTTGGTGCCTACCTACACCTCCATATTCATGGCTCCTAAAAGCCATGCCGGTGTCCCGTTGAACCCGACCATGGGGCTGTTAGACTACTCCAGATCATCTTGGTGAAGGCCAAGCTCCTTGTAACATTTGACATACATGATATCACAAGAATTGCCGTGGTCAATCAGTATGTGTCTCACCTGACATTCTCCAATCTTTAGGGTTACCACTAAGGCCCTACATCCTTGTGTCTAGTGCCCATCCTTATTGTGGTAAACAAAGTGCTTCCTAATGCTCCTTCCCATAAACTCGCCAGGGAGTTTCTCTGGTGCTCTGTAATACAGCTGGTTCCTGATCTTCTCCAGAACTTTGTAGATCGAGATCCTGAATACAGTGGTAACTGCCTGTGTAGCATTCAACCCTGTCTCCTGTCTATTTAAACTGGAATTACCTCGGCCTCGCTTCGGTGAGCTGTTTCTCTTTTCCTACTTTGGTTCTTTGCTCCTGGTGTGTCTTCCTTTACCCTGGTATACTTCTCAATCCGTGCCATGAGCTCCTCCATACTCTTTGGAAGAGTTTTGCAAGTGACTTTCGAAGTTGGCATTTATCCTCCAGGCCGTTTCTAAAAGATACGACCGCCAGCTCCTAGTTACATGCCGGTATTCAGTTGAACACCTCATAATACCTTTTGGCATAAGCCCTAAGGCTTTCACCCTCGCTAATGTTCAGGGCTAGTAGGGAGTCTACCCTTAGTGGCTGTAATTTGTTCATAACAAGCCTGACCATAAACATCTCGACCAAGCCTTCCCAACTCTTCACAGTCCCTCTCGGCAACTTATGGAACCAATCCAATGCAATCTCTCCAAAAGATGAGGGGAACACCTTGCACAATAACTGCTCATTTCCGCTATACAAAGCCATTGAATTTAAATACAAGCTGACATGAAAGTTCGGGTTAGACTTACCGTCATAAATCTGGAACCTCAGCATATGGAATCTCTTTGGGGCCTCAAACCTATACAGCTTCAGTGAGAATGATGTTCTCGGCTTAATCGGGGATGTGACCTCGGCATTGAGTCACTTCTTCTAGAGATAATCTTTCAGATCCTCCTTTGTTTGACCGGGAGCTTGACTATCAACTGATTTCAGCCTTTTTGGCGCGTTGCTCCTAGTGTCATTGTGCGCCCTCTTGGACTTCTTCTCATTCACTGTATCAAAGCAAAGGCCCTTTCCCTGGAAATGCCGAGGTTCTTTGGCATAGGTCTTCTTTGTTCACGGCGTCTTCTACGACTCACCCCTTACTGACTCCGCTCGCCCGATATCCCGTGAAGACCGATGTGAACGCTTTTTCTCATTGCCATGTTGAGGGACTATTGGGATTGCTTTCTGCCCCCTTTTCTGGGTGTCAGTCTTGGCTACTGGCATCAGTGTGTCCTGCAACGGATACGATGGTTGCATTACATTCTTCTGCATCATGAAGTTGACAACCGATTGTAGGTCTGCCAACTTGTTCTCCATCCCTTTCATCTCGTCGTCCCTCTTCAGGCATCTATCCTTTCATACTTGGAGGTCGCTTTCGTTGTAGTACTTATCTTGGCCTACTTTCTTCGGGTTGTTACCCTCTTTGCCAATGCCCTTTTTCCCAAGATTTGGATCCTGTGTGTCTTCATTACGATTTTCCTTTCCGACGTTAAGGTCTGTATGTTTACCACTCCCACTAGGGATGTCGTCCCCAATATTTTCTTCCTGCCCGTTGTTGGCCATTTATTCTCCTAAGTTCCCACAGAAGGTGCCAAATTATGGGTGTAGGTTTCCGACCACATAACTAAAAGGGAAACTCAACTAGAGAGCATTGGTAGAATAGATTAAGCCCAACAACCTGCACAAGAAGATGAGAATCCGGTGGATGTTCGTCCACTCGGAGACACTCCGACGATCAAGTTAGTAATCAATATCTCTCAAAGATAGCAAATTATGTTTAAACTCACAAGAAAGAACTTACTTCAGACCCACGGGGGTGCCTTACTTTTATAACCAGCACTGACCTAATCTCTTTAGAAGTCTTGCTTCAGTGGACTCAGGCTCAATGCTCATCCTGGACCCTCGTCTAGATAGAGATAAGCTCGGTTTGAGCCTTATCTTTATCTAGACTAAGATCCTCTCCCGTTCTAGGACTTTTGTCCCTTATCTGCTTAACTTGGATTCCGGTATCTCACACAGATAACCTCGACCTTGCCGACATCATCTCGACAACATGACTCGACCACGTGGCACCTTGGATGATACTTCGGCATCACCTTAGTCACGTATTGTCATTCACAAAATATGTCCCCACAGCTAGTATGACATTAATTCCAATGTTTTATTGAGTTTACTAAATGAAATGGAACAATATGACACTTTTTTGAAAATATTTATTTTATATTTGATTCATTCAAAAAATAATAAAAAAATGCATTGCAAAAGAAATAACAATTATTCCATAAAAAAAATAAAAAAATAATCATTTTATTCCATTGCACTACCTGAACTTTTTCTCCAAAAATAAGATTAGTTTCTTACAAAAGTGAATAGAAACAATAATTAAATATATGATAGAAATTTTAATTTCTATTATAAAGTACAATTATGGAATAAATAGATGAGATAAAATTTTAGTTCAAATGTGTGGATTTAATCGAATGGTGGTATTACACGCCAATGATCATATGGTATCACCATTAACTCGTGTCTTCTGATAAATTTATATTTCCAAAATGCAAATCTTATAACAAATTATTTTGTTTGGTTTTATTTTCTAAAAATTATTTTTAGAAGAATTTGCATTTGTTTTAGTAATTTTTTTTCATATTTTAATCAAAATTTTTTTTTTACAATTTTTTTAGTTTATTTTGTTAAATTAAAAATTTTGATAAAGAATAGTTGTAATTTTTAGTATTATAGGGACACTTCATATTTTAAATAAACTTCAGGGGTCTATTTATAATTTATCCAAAACCAAAATATTTATGTGTTATAACTGACCAAGAATCTTTGCATTATTACAAAAAACCCTTCACTCAAATTAGTATCACCAATATTGATAAATATTACCAAAGAGAAGGGTAAAATGGGAAAGTCAAATTATAGGTTACCATTAGTAAATTATACAAAATAAAAGGGCAAAATAGAAAAAAAAAATCTCTCAAGGGTGCATTTGTAATTTATCCAAAACCAAATATTTATGTTTTATAACTGATCAAGAATCTTTATATAATTACGAAAAAACTTTTATCCAAATTAGTACTACCAATATTGGTAAATAATACAAAATAAAAGGGCAAAATGGAAAAACTAAAATGCAAGCCTCTAATAGTAAATAATTCCAAACCAAATGGCAAAATCAAAAAAAAAAAAAAAAAAAAAAAAAAAAACAACAACAACAACAACGAGCCTCAAGTAAATAAACGCTTCTTATATATACTAGTTTGAAAAGGACCGTGTCGGGCACGAACTATTATTACAGTATGTTTAAATTTTATATGTTGATAATTTTTTTAAATTGAAATATTGTTCTATGAAATTGAATAGAATAAATCATTAGATATATAATAGAATTATGTAGTATGATATATATTATTTTTTGATTTGTTAGGGCATTTCCAATGGTTCACCAGAAATTTAATCAAATCTTAGTAAAAAAAGACAAATCCTTCAATTTGATATCAGTCACTCCAATTAAATCCATCAAAACACACTGGACGGCCGGGGGGATGACTGGCCGGTTGATCGGAAAGAGGAAAATGAAATTTTTTCCCCTTCATTTCTATTTTCTCAATTCCTTTCCCATTTTTTCCCCCTCTATTAAATCTTTTCCTATTTTTTTGCTGCCAATAATTATTTCCTTCCAAAAACAAATATAAACAGATTAACCCATGTACTATATAAACCAAACAATCAACGTTGCATTTGGAACCAACCATAACTGAAAACCAAAGTATAATGACTAGCTCAAGTTCTTATTTGTTCACTTCATTTTCATCATCTTTTTCTTCCTCATCCTCTGATGATGAGTCTAATGATGAAAAATTGTGAAACTTCTGGGTGTTTATGAGATAAATAATGCTAGTATGATATAGATTCTGATATCAAGTGATTGATCAAAGAAAATAGGTGGTTCTATTGTAGGACATAAATACATACGTCACGATAGATGGAAGGGTCATGAACGATTGTTTGCGGATTATTTTATAGCAAATCCAGTTTATTCACCTATAACATTTCGGAAACGTTTTAGAATGCGTCATCCTCAGTATCTGTGAATTTTGAATGCCATTGAAGCACACGATTCATATTTTGTTAAAAAAAAAAGGATGCAACTCATATCCTCGGATTGTCTCCACTGCAAAAGATGACTTTAGCAATGAGAATACTCTTATATGGAGTGGTAGCAGATACAGTTGATGATTATGTGCGAATTGGGAAAAGTACGGAAATTAAAAGTTTGAAATACTTTTGCAATTCAATAATTGAAATCTTTGGACCAGAATACCTTAGATCTCCAACAATAACTGATATTTCTAGATTACTTGCTATTGGGGAGGTTAGTGGGTTTCTGGGTATGTTGGGAAGTTTAGATTGCATACATTGGGAATGGAAAAATTGTCCAACTGCATGGCAAGGTCAATATGTAGGCCATCAGAAAAAATCAACCATCATTCTTGAAGCAGTAACTTCTTATGACTTGTGGATTTGTCATGCATCTTTTAGAATGCCTGGATCACACAATGACTTGAATGTGTTGGATTGGTCGCCCTTATTTCCTAATCTTACCCAAGGTAAAGCTCCGCTATCCATTACACTATTAATGGACGCGCTTATAATATGGGTTATTACCTTGATGATGGTATATACCCTTAATGGGCAACACTGGTTTAGACAATCTCTTCTTCTCAATGAGCAAAGAAGCAACATTTTGCAATGATGCAAGAGTCAGCAAAGAAGGATGTACAGCGGGCATTCGGAGTGCTCCAATCCCGGTTTGAAATTGTAAGTGGTGCAGTATGTTTTTGGGATCCCAAAATGTTTGGTAACATAATGAGGAGTTGCGTTATATTGTACAATATGATTGTCGAAGATAAGAGAGATGAGTATCTTGATTTCAATTATGAAATTATCAACCAACTCACTCATACAACTTTCGTGTAATAGTAACAATGACTTCCAATCATTTATGTCCTGCCATTTAGGTATTAGAGATAAGAATGTACATTATACCCTCCACAATGATTTAATAGAACATATGTGGCATCTTCATGGTGAAAACTAACTTCACCACGTGGATGAGAACATGAACTTTTGGTTAGCATTTTTGATTGGGAGGTGATTACGCATGGAAGGCTGTCAGTATTTGTTGTTTCTCTTAAACTTCATTTACACACATCATTTTTGTTGTTAGTCAAATACTCAATTTTTATTGTTGGTGTTCTTCACTCTATACACTTTATACACATCTATTTTTGCTAGTATTATTGGTCCATTAACTTTGTCAATATCGAAAATAATGTGAATTATGAATGTACTGATGTGATAATTTACTTATGTTGTGTTCTATGCATGTGAAATGTACTGCTACGAAAATGGTTTTTATCAACATATTTTTTGTTAATTGATTATTTTGTTTTCTGAATATTTTGACATATTGTGTTGATGAGTCCTGAAGATTGAATTTTGGATGCTCATAATGTCAATTAGAAGGATGACTACTAATATGGATTTGGACTACTGATATGGATGCTATAGACACCCCATTTTTGACCGCCTTTAAAACTTGGATGTCATCGTTTGAACACTCGATGATCATCCATGCTCGTGTTCGTTTTGAGTTCCCGGAGGCCTCGTCCATGCGCCTTGCCTCAGGATTCTCAACTTGCCTGTTTTGTGCTTGGTTGTGGACTGTAACGCCCTTAAAATAATAACATTAAAACCCATCAACATAGACATGCATTGGTATAAAAGATAAATATTATTCTATTCATCAGAGTAGTTCCTTACAAAAGTATTACATGTTAACAACAAAAGCAAATGCCCTACGGGCTTACAGCTTTCCAAGTTAACACTTGGTTACAAAAAGAAGAGTACTAACTCAATACATATAAAGCCCTTGGCTTGAATTTACATGTAATACACCAAAAGAAAATAAACAAAATAATCCGCCTGCCTCTAGCCTCCCAAGCTATGTCCTTGGAGGTGGCATGCTACCTGTACCTGAAAATGATGTCCCATAAAGGGTGAGCCACAGCCCAGTAGAAATACACTAAACCAGCCATGAACAATGACTAAAAGATTAGCAGTTGATAGATGGTCAACACAGATACATCCACTTACATCACATTCGATTTCATGACATTAAGTTCATGTTACATTTCATTTCCCACGCCCTTTCAAATTTTGATTTTTGAAAACAAGGCTCAACACTTAGCCAAATAACTTAATGAGGTTTAGACTTATCTTTAAAACACTTTCAAAATTCATGAGGGATACATATTTTAATGCTGTATCAACATAACATAGATTCACTTCTATACTTTACAATTGATAACGATATACATTTTAGTACTATATCAAATCAATTCAAACACTTCCATAATCAACACTTGATACACATTGTAGTGCGGTATCAATGTCACACAAAATCCGGTTTAGAGGTCCATCCCCTATCTTCCCCTAAACCGTGGAGTACATCCCCAATCTCCACCCACACAACACATGTATATAAACATAGATCATATACAATCAATCAATACATAGAATTACTGTATTACTCCAGTTGCTATATTCAATAGCATACTCAATCGATTAGTTTTAGTTTGCCAAATCATTATGCAGTGTCTACAATAATCAAGACTATCCTCCACCGATAGCCTAAAGCAGTTATTTCTATACTAAAAATAAATGCACCAAATGGATATATAATCAACATTTCAACTAGGTGAGCGATAAACGAATCTAACTACACCCTTTAATCCCATACAACTCCAATTCCAACATTCTCAACTTAATTCCTCTTTTCTTCAAATTAATTATACCAATTAATTTATCAATGTAATTAGAGCATTTCCCATAATTAACATCACAACCCTAAGGTTTCATTTTTTACCAATAGACCAATATTGATCTCATTTCTCTATGCCAAACATGCATATACGTTTATATAAACAAAACCAACTTTTGTAAAATTACACAAAGGCCCAAACTTTCTCAAAATTACCCAACAACCCCTAACTCATCAAAATACTAAAATTCAAAGACAAAAATCATAAGAAGGAGTAGGATATCCCAACCTCGAAGTTAGAGCTCAAATGGGGAAGGAGAAGAAAGTGAAATGCTCCAAACACCACGATTCTCGGATCAAAACGAAGCCCTTGATGATCAACACACCTTTTACAAAAGCCGGAGGATAGAGAGACACTCTAACTAGATCAAACCCTAGAGAGAAGGGAGTTTCTAGAGAGAGGGGCTCTCAAAATAGCTTTTTAGAAAGTAAGAGAGAGAGAGAGAAAGTAAAAAGTGATTTTAAAATGCCCAATTGCCAACTGATATACGACATTCCCACTCGAGCAGAGAACACAACGCTCGAGCGTCAAGAACAAAAAACTAGGTACACTCGAGCGCAAGAAGGCCCACTCGAGCGCCAAGACACAAGAATAAAGTACATCCGCTCGAGCGCGAAAACCAGTCCGCTCGAGCGTAGATTTCCCCCATGCATTGTCTACAATAATCAAGACTATCCTCCACCGATAGCCCAAAACAGTTATTTCTAAACTTGGAAATAAATA